AACACAAAAGATCCCAAGTAGGTAAAACCATCCGAGAAAGAAGAAAACTAGAAACACCACATTTCCAAATTTAAATATATATTACAGTAATTAAAGATTAATTCATTTAGATTTTAGGCAAAGCTGCTTATGTCTACTCTTCAAAAAGAAAAAAAGAAAGCAAGGTTTGAAGTCTGTTTAAAATTAGTCTACTCTATCTTTTCTTATTTGATTTCCAAGTAGGATTGTTACTGTTTGCGTATTTTAAAGATTCTCTTTTTCTAGGCTGCCATTGATTTGAAATGGTTAAAAATGAAATAAATCTTGATACAGTCTTTGAATGGATTCCATTAAACCTATAAAAATGCTAAAATATGTATAAAATTAATGGGCATGGAAATATGCTCATTATATGTTTGTTGGATCCTTAACAAAGAGATTATAAAGTAACATCCGTTTATAACTGTATTTGTGAATATGCATGTATAAATATGTTTGTAGTGGTAATTTCTATATCATGAGATGTAAGTGATCTTCTTTACTGTTTCCTGGATTGTTTTGTGTGCAGCAGACATCTGCTATCGGAAAAATATCAATAGTATTTTAAATTTAAAATTAGAAAGAGCCCATAAACAAAATACAAAGTCCCTGCCCCTAGTTTTAATAAAGGAGTAGCAAAAATCTCATCAAAATGGATTCTTGGCAGTTTTGTAGGTTAGTTTTTAATTTAAAATAAATGAGAACAGTTTTGTGGGTTATTTTTTTAATTTAAAATGAACAAGAGCAGTGAGAAGCTTTGTCTCAGTGCATCATTTATTCTAAATGCTGAAAGTCACCAATAATCCAGTCAGGGATATGTGTATTAACTGGGGAAATTCCAAAACTCCTTTGTTCATGGTGTTTGGCCTCTCTCATAATTTTGCCTCTAAGTCAAACAATATCCCTGAGCCTTTCCTGTAGAGAGTGGAGTTGGTTCAAGTGGTCTCACAAGTGCTTCTGTCCCGCCAACTGACTTAACAATGGCGGTGCAATCAGCCTAGTGTGTTCGCTAATTGGTATTCATGGAAAGGAGGCTCTTGAGCAGTAGCTCTATCCATACGAGTCTTGCATTTTAAGGGAAGATATTTTTGATTGTAACACTGGGAAGAAGTGGGGAGATTTGTATCCCAGAAGGGTAAAAAATACGACTCAGCATTTTCTGAAGTGAACCCTCTAAGGAAAGGGAAATACAGTCAACAGGAAACCTATCTAAGATGTAGTCAAGCTGAGCTCAGGGAAGCTTAGAGCTATTTTAGTTCATCAGGGTGAATTGAATAGACAGCAGAAGGTCCTCAGTGTTTTCTTTCACATTGCCTTAGGTGTCTCCTTAGTTTTTTCTTAGGACCCTAGGACAGGTCCAAAACACTTAATGAGTATCTGTGTCCTTATAACTTAGAAACCCTGGAAATATTGATACAAACCTAGAGCGCTATTATACAACATCAGTACTATATGTAATACAACTGGACTATGTTGGAGATTCATATTAAATGAATAGATCCTGTTCTTCCCACAAAAATAACTCAAAAAAGTTTGTGTAGCTGTTATGGTTTGTGTCTAGTGGTCCCCACAAAGCCTTATGCAGTCATGGGCGACTTCTGGAGCTTGTGATTGATTATTGTGGGTGTGGATGCTGCATCTGCCCTGGGGCAGGTGATTTGCATTACAAGGTAAAGAGGGGAGAGAGGCTCAATAGCTACCTGAGCTCCTGCACTCCCTTTGCTCTGTGCTCTTTGCTGCTGCCATGAAAGGCTGCCCTCTGCCATGTGCTGCTCTGCCTTGGAGCCAGCTGAGTATGGACTGAAACCTCCACTAACTGTAAGCTAAGTAAACCTTTCCTTCCCTAATTTGGATGTCAGATATTTGTCCCAGCAACAAGAGAAGAGTAATTGAGACAGTAGCTATGATGGATCTGTTAGTTAATTTGTCTCACAATACTAACATTTTATGATCTGTATGTAAACCATACATCCATGTTTCTATACTATGAAATTTATAGGTGAAAAAATGATACACATAATGTAAAAATATTTTAACATAAGTACGATTATTTAGTAATCAACCTGTATACCTTTTGGGCATTACACAACTTTTAAAACTTGGACTCAGCTCAGACACTGTCACTCTCCTGTTTTGTTCAGTGTCGTTTGACATACGACTGAGAGTTTTCTGAAGTGAACCCTCTAAGGAAAGGGAAATACAGTCAACAGGAAACCTATCTAAGATGTAGTCAAGCTGAGCTCAGGGAAGTACTTGCTTTATAAAAATCAATTATTCAAACTCTTACTTCTTAAAGACAGGTTGTGATGAAAAGAAATATCATCTAATGTTGGAACGGAGCTGCCTCAAGCTAGTAAATCACCCAGTGGTAGACAGATGTTGTGTATGACAGTTATTCCTCTTGAAAATTTAAAATAATGGGAGCTAGGGAGATGGCTCAGTGGAATAAGCACTTCCCTGGCAAGCACAAGGGCCTGAGTTCAATCCCCAGTTCTGCCAAAAAAAAAAATTAAAATAATGCGGAAAGCCCCATGAGTGAATTCCATTCAGCACCCTAGAACACTGCTTGGAATCTATGAGTCTGTAGTATGACCTGACCTCTGCACTCCTAGATCTATAGGCCAAATGAATAGAGCTTCTTCCTCACCACTGCCTTCTTTCCTTCAGTGTTCTTTATTTCTTTTTCTTTTTAATGTTCAAATGATGTAGTAATTTGGGGTGATGAAATGTTACTTCATGTGAACTGTTGACAAGCAATGTGTTCATGCAATGTCAAACAGCAGAGTTACGGAAAATAAAGGTCTCTGACATAGTGAGACATGCTGAAGATTAAGCAGTCACAGTTTCCTGAAAACTGGCTGAAATCAGGTGGACTTAATGCCCTAAAGTTTAGCTCTGTGGCTACAGGACCTTCACTTCAGACTGCATAAATGTTAGTCATGTTACATTGACTCTACGCATTGTGATTAATCCGCTTCTTTCACGTGACCAAGGGTAAATGATCAACACTTTATGCTATCCAAAGATGACAAAAGGTGGTTGTTTCCTCATCCTCTTTTAGGTGTTTGCCTAACTATTGCGAGCATGGAGGTGAATGTTCTCAGTCCTGGAGCACCTTTCACTGTAACTGTACCAACACTGGCTACATGGGGGCCACCTGCCACAGCTGTAAGCCAGACATGCCTGCTGTTCTTGCTCTGTGGTGACTTTCCATTGCGTTCTCCATTCCATTTCTGTGTGTCTGTCTGTCTGTGCATGTGCAATTTTGTGTTGGAATGTACATCCCCCACCAGATACCATCATATTGGGGACTAAGTTCAAACACATGAGTTTGTGGGGGACACAACATTCCATCTCTAGCACTATCATTTAAATTCTCTTGTAATCCTACCTAATAAAGATGATGCAGGGAAATGGAATAGGAAATTCTTAGGTTAATCATAATAGTTAATTTCATTGAGCATTTTCTAAATGCTATTTGCCTATTTTACAAATGTTAGCTTATTTAGTGCTGATGGCCACTCTAATAGGTAGGTAATACTACTGTCTTTAGTTAATGCTTGAGGTAATGGAGAGGTAAGCTTGCTACATCAAGGTTACTTCAATATTGGAGGCAGAGGAAACATGGCAACGAGAGGAGGGAGTCATGTGCAGAGCCTGGGACCATAACTAATACTCCTTTCTTGATTATAAGTCATGTCTTTTTTTTCTAACTCAATGTTTGCATGTGATGTGAGACCTTTGCTATTTTGTTGTCTACTTACCCACTACCTGTAATGAGTGACCAAAATGCACACTTTGAATATCATTACTGAATTTCAAGGGAAACCCTAAGCTTTAGTGCCAGCTTCTACTGCCTTGAGTGAAGACAAGAGCTTCAGGTGCCAGGTCAGTAGTAGCCTCACTACCCTATGTTATGATACCACACATTATTTTGTATTCCTGGCAGTGTAGGGAGTATAATTCTTGGTTCCTAGCCCTCTGCCCTCTACAAAAGACCCTGAGAAGCCCTGGTTTGGAACTGGTCTCACCAGGGCAGCCAGAGTCATCATTCACCATCATTTGATCATACTGTAGAGTCTCGCAAGAGTAGGGTGAATGTTTGCTGGTAATAAAGCATCTTTTCACTTGTCACCAGTAGCCACATACTGGACTCATGTCTTCCAGTATGGAGACACATTATGTTTTAATTTTTATCTCTTCTACCTTCCTCATTACAGTATCAAACTCCAGACTGAAAACTATTAAATATACTTTAATTAATTAATAATTCATTTTAATCATTATCAATGACTATATCTAAATATAAACACAAACATCTGTGAGAGAAAAAAATAAATGAAAAGGTATTCTCATCTGTGGCCCACCATTTGGTTCCATAATGAATTCATTAGATTCTCAACTGTTTGTGTAAATGAAGCTGAATCTTTTTTGTTAATAACCACCTTGAGAAGTGGGGCCAGGAAAACAGATCTGGTTAGAAGGAAGAGGCAGAGGCAGTCTCATAAGAAGCTTTATTAGGAGATGATACATTAACATGTTATTTGAAAGGCTAGCAGTACATGCCAAGCACAAGTCCTTCCGCTTATCTTCATCTACTCATGTGTCCTTCCCTATGTCCATCTCCATCCCAGTTGTGCACATATCCTGCCAGCTTCCTTCTTTTGAACATATGCATGTGCATCTGGAGATACAAACAAACCATTTTACATGCCAACCTCAGTTCACAAAATGGAAATATAACTGGAAAGCAATTCATACCTAGCTATTCTTTAACTATGTAATATATAATGGGAACAAAATAAAACCATCAAATTATGCAGAAGTGAAGTAACTGCCTACGATTATTTTAAAATTTTGTGCCATTGAACAAGTCAGCCACAACATTTCATGTTGCCTAAGCACTTACTAACATAATTTTCAGAAATTTAATATAGATTTTGGAAAAGAGTTTTCTTTTTTTTCTGAGCAAAATATATTTATTGGGAGAAAGAAAGCTCCTGTCCAAGAGAGCGACAGGAGGGGGACTCCGAACCAGATGTCTCTAGGAAGCTGTCTCTTCAAGGGACTTTTATAGAGGAAAACCATGTAGTGAGGTGGGTCTAAGATGGTGGAGAACATGGGAACTCACTTAGCGGGGCATGAAATGGGACAAAACTATGGTCGACCAATGAGATTAAAAGCGCCATTGCTCAGGTAAATGGATTAAATCCAGTACCAATGAGGAAGCCAGTCATGCAGCAAGGGGGCATGAATGCTAGGACAGGGTCTCTTCCTGTTGGGGGTTGGGTTAGTGACTCATTTGGGCTCTTTCAAGCCTATTTAGAATATCAATGCCTGATGCCCATCCTTAGGGAAGTATGTAGCTGTTTTCATTTCCTTTTTTATCTTGAGGTGGCCCATATGGGAGTGTCTGTCTCTTCCAAGTTACAAAGTCACTTTGTCTTCCACATTGTCTCCTTGAAGGCCTGGCCTTGTCTGATTGCCTATAATATTTCTATCTAATTCAGTTGCCTATAAAATTCCCACCTCTGAAGAAGTAACCCAAACTGCCATGAGGGAACCATGGGCAATGACCACTCTGGCTTCTTCAGGCTGAAAGGGGTCAGAGTTGTGAACTGGCAGTCAGAGATATTCTCAAGAGGTTCTATCCAAAGACCCTCAGTAGACATCAGGCATTTCACCCACCCAAGATGGAAATGGGCTTTCAAAGATTATTTCAAATTTCACAGAAAAATAACCCTTCATGGATAGTTATGTTATTAAGTCAGTACATTTGGCTAAACATTCAGTGAAAGGTAGGTATTACACATGGGAAACATATACAGCACTTGCATAGTAAAGAGCTTTTGGTGATGTGTCAAAGCACATTGAAACTACTTGCGGGCATATTTCATGTGCTCTACATTTTAATTATTCTCGTTACAGAGCATTACCTAAATTTCTTTTGTAAATTACTTCTAAGATTTTGATGATGCGCTTTGTTACTCATCTTTGTTCTATGAAAAAATGTACTTACCTTTAGCTCATTTTACAAGAGGAAGGTGGATTCTGATTTTATTTAAAATGTTTCTAGTACATAATTATCAGACAACAGCAGTTTATTTAAGAAGATTGCACTATTGTGCTTCAAATGCAAGGCTATTACAAGGTGATACTAGAATTAGAGATTCCCAAATTGATGCCACAAGGGACCATGTTATACGTATGAGACGCTTGACATTTACATAATTGTCTTTTCTTCTCCTATGCTTCCTAATGTAAAATTAAGCTAAAGTTTCCTTCTGATGAAATAAACTCATTTCCTTGAGTGATAAAGGTATCACAAGATGCAACCTCACCCCTCCTTTTTCTATCTTATCATTTTTGTATACATTAAAAATAAAAGAAAAATTATTTTTGTTGTAGAGTACAAATTCCACCTTTTTCTGCAGTTAGGGAGGCACACACCAAAGCAAAAATTCTAGAGATTTACTTCATACCCTTTCTTTCATTAGGATGATCTGTTCTGTTTGTTTTCCACAGCTATCTACGAGCAGTCATGTGAAGCTTATAAACACAGAGGAAATACCTCAGGGTTTTATTACATAGATTCCGATGGAAGTGGTCCTCTGGGGCCATTCCTTCTCTATTGCAACATGACTGGTAAGCTAATCAACCTTTATTTAATCGTTAAATCTGCATGAACACTTTAAATATACAAAATTAAAATGAACTAAGGAGGAAATTGATCTAATTTTGCAGCTTGATTAAAATGTGTATTGTGTAGTAGAACAACTGAGCATAACACTTTAAAATATTAGTTGAGTGGTAATGATTTAAAATATGGTCATTTTTATGCATGTATTACCTGTGGAGAACATCTAATCATCAATGTTTTGTATGTCTTAAAATAAAATAGTTTGTATTTGTTGAAGCAGATTGATATACATAAAAGCTTTGAGAAATATTTACTTTTTGAATGCATATAAACATGAAGTTTATGTTGTAGAATTTTTTATTTACTTAAATCAACATAGACATTAGAAATCATGGCAACTGTATTTGGTGAAATTCATTATCTTCTCATTATCAAGAAGAAAATTACATTACTATTGGACTAGAATTCCTTTCATTCAATAAAGTGCCCACCAAAACTTATAGCTTATGTAAATTCATAGTGAGCCCTTGAAAGTGTTTTCTGTGATGAGCATTAGGATCTTTCACATGTCATCGAATTGAAGGTCTTACCCAGTTCAATAATGCAAGGGAACAAGGTAGAAAAACATAATTATTGGAAGGAAAGTCCTATAATTCTTGGTATTTGTAGGTGCCCAGGTGATGTATGGGAAATTGATATAGAGATGCCTCAAAAATATCAAAACTAGGAATTCTATTTGACTCAGCTCTTCCCTTCTAAGTATCTTTCCAAAAGAGTGAAAGACATTGTATTACTATGATGCCTGCCCATCCATATGTATGGTAGCACAGTTCATCATCACTAAATCTTGGAAAGTGCCCATCTGCCCCTTAACAGATGAATGGATAAAGAAAATGTGGTATTGACACATGATGGAGTATTATTTTGCCACAGTAAAAGATAAACTTGACTCCTTTGTAGAAAAATGGATCACCTTGAGACCATAATGTTAAGTGAAATAAATTAGACACACTAGCTTTCTTATATGAGAAGCTCACATGATAAATACAGGGTAAAATAAAAGATAGATAATGGGCAGCATGGAGGTAGATCTTCCTCAGTTTGGAAGGGGACTCAAGAGGTGAAGGAAGGGAAGCAGGGGAAGAGGGTGAAGAAAGGAACTAAGATGTACTCTGTACGTGTACCAGCTCCACATAAGAAACGAAAATATTATGCATTAGAAATACGAACTAATAAAATCTTATAGAAGAGAATTTGAAAGGATCTGCAGCAGAGATTATCCCTGGATAAAACTCAATACAAAATTAGTTTTATTTCTATATGTCAGCAGTAAGCAATTAGAAAATGACATGTTGGGATATGGCATTTCAGCAGCACCAAAAATCTCAAACACATGTAACAAATATAATGAAAGACATCCAAGGCTTCTACACTGCTCAGTGCAAAGCATGATGGAAATCTATCAGCAGCCTATATAAATTGAGTAATACAAAATTTTCACTGGTTAAAGAAGGCAACGTTGTAGAGTATCAATTGTTCCAAACTTGATATTGATTTAATGCAAACCTAAATTAAAATCCAACAGGATTTTTGTTGAGGTTGGTGTGATTATTGTGGTGAAGATGAGCAAACACATCCTAAAATATCCAAGCAAATATAAAGGGTTAAGAAGAATCAAGTCAATTAGAGTTGAAGAACTCAAGTCTATTGGATTTAAAGTCATTATACTGTTATCCTAAATAAAGCGGTGTGTAGTTGGTAATGAAATCAGTAAATATACCAATGAAACAAAATGATGTGCAAACAATTCGCTCATCTATGGATAATTAATGTTTTTGTCAAGGTGATAAGATGTGCGGTGGAAGGAAAGATGACTGTTCTAGTCAGTAACACTCGGGGAAATGAAATATTAAAAGCCAAGTAAAGAAACCATAATCCATTCCTTATCAAACTCAAGTAGTGAATTCTAAATGAGTTATGGCATCCAATAGGGTAGTCACTTGCAACAAATACCTGTTTAAATTCTAATTTAATTAAAATTAAACGAATTGGAATACATTTTAAAATTCAAACAGATAATTTAATCAAAAGAAGATGAAATGAAATGTGGAGTTCCTGACTCTCCTGGCACCTTTTTATCTGCTCAGTAGCTTCCTGCTCAGGACTGTTGCATGGCTCCTCACTGGTGTAGAACATTTCCAGCAAGGCAAAAAGTTACTTTGGACAGTGCAGTATTAGGGAGTCCAAGATTTATGGAGTAAACAAAAAGAAAAGGGCAGCATCAGACTGAGTCAGACATTGCACTGGAGGAGTGTTTGCTATTTAGAATGCAGCAGTTACTTTCCGGAGAAGGAGGCTTCCAGGACACAGCAGCAAAAGTCAATTCCTGAGATGGGGGATCTTGTCAGCTGTATTTGGAAGATAGCAACAGATCTGGGGTAGTGGGGTATGGGAAGCAATGGGAAGTGGTAGCACAGGAGAAGAGAGTCAGGCCAAAAGACCAGAGAAGGGGAAGAGTCCTGGGACTCTTGCAGCAGAGTAGTAAGGTCCTTGGTTGCTTGCTTTGTATGCAATGAAAAGGTGTTGGGGGTAAGTAATGGTGCGGTATAATCTGACTTCCTTTAATGGGATCAGATGGTGCCTGTGTGGGGAAATACCTACACAAGAGCGGGGCTGCACAGGGATGAGGGAGCTGGATGTACAGAATAGGAGTCAGGAAAACTGTTAGGAAACCATTTCAAGTAATGCAGAAGTCCAAGGGGCAGCTGGTGAGGGTGGCTGCTTGCCCCAAATAGCGCCAATGCAGATCGGGAAGGAGATTAGAGCTGTGTGCTGAAGTAGCTGTGCGAAGTGAGAAAATACCAGTTTAGGATTTGGAAAATCAAAAAGTTTGAATTGCTATTATTTGAGGTGTGACCAGAAAATGTTTGAGGGGAAAGGTTAGAAGTCTTTTTTATTCATTTTGAATTGGAGATGTATGTAGTGCATTCAAATGCAATACTAAGGAGGCAACTGAATATGGGGCAGCACTTCCTTCATATTTGTGTCATTCTAGAAAACCACAGGGTCACTGATCTCTCTCTCTCTCTCTCTCTCTCTCTCTCTCTCTCTCTCTCTCTCGTTTCTGTCTCTCTTTGTGGGGCAGGGTTCATTACAGAATGTACGTTTTGGCTCTTTTTTTTTAAATTTTATTTTAAAAATGAAATCAAAGCAAAAAAAAATAAAAAGAAAACAATATAGAATTGCAAAGCAAGATGCCAGGAAATTAACAATGGTTGTTATATTACATATCGTTATATTCAAAGTAATTGCTCAGATTACCAGATATAGGTATTCAAGATTGATCAAACAACTAAACATTTTTTCTTTCAATAAACCAATAGCAATTAGAGTATAATTATCTTAGCTAATATATATATGTAATATATATATATATATATATTATATATATCCCTTCTTTTCTCCTTCCCCCATCTCAGTTCTTCTCTTCAAAAATAAAGATAAACATAACAATGAAACCGAGTTTCAGAACAGGTTATTAAGACCATTACAATAGTTGATACACTGTGTATCGCTGTCTTCCTAGCAGTTATTCAGAGTAGAAGATTTAGACATGATCTCTTTTTGTCTATACAGTATTAACACAAAACTTTCCTTTTAATGAATTAAGAGAAACTAGCAGCATAACAGCATTCACTGTCTTGTATATACATACATTTTTTCTTCCTTCCTTTCTCCTTTCAAATGCATCTTTAGAGATTTTCATATAATGCACTTGGTGGCTATGCTAACAAAGCACGGAGGAAACTGCTCCACAGATCCAAACCACCTGAAGCATTCTGTAGGTTCCACATGCTTGTCTTCTGATGAAGCTTCCCAGTCTGCATGACACAAATTCCCAGTCAGCACGCTAGGAACATCGGCTTCAGCCACTGAGGGAGCCAGTGTCTTAGACGATCTTCCTGAGTGATTCCAAAGTATCCACTGGTTTGAAATTGCTGTTTCTCTGATTTTTGTATGCACAAGTTGGTCTTTTAAGTATAATAAATTCAAAAGACTTCACAAAAAGAAAAAAAAACTTTGCTAACAGGGGTGGTAGTGCATTCCTGTAATCCCACCACTCGAGGCTGAGGCAGAAGGACTGCTATGAGTTTGAGGTCAAGTCTAGAATACAGTGAACTCAAAGATATTAGCTGCAGAGTGAGATCTTGTCTCAAAAGAGGAGGTAGCTTTGTTAATGTAAGATAGGAATTCAAATGTCATAGAATTCCTATTCAGGTAGGCTGGATATGGTGACATTTACCAGGAGATCACTAAAAACCTATGAAGCAAGTAGGCAAATTCTATGCTGCCAAAAATATAACTTGAGATATTCAGGGACACATGCAATACAAAGTTTTGGTCTCAAAATTAGATAACTCTAAGTTGGTAAATATCTCTGCCTTTGAAGCTTTAAGAATCATACAACACACACAGACACAGGCACACACATACAAACACACACACACACACACACACACACACACAAGCTGATTCTCCTTATTTGCAGTAATTATGTTCTATGAAGTTACCATGGACATTGGATTAACACATACTAAACTTTGGCCCTTAAGGTAAAATACAGTAAGACTAGATGCCTTTGTGCCTGTCATGATGATGTTCTGATCTATCAATAAACACTCAATCTTGCTTTACATGTAGTCCAGGTTAAAGATGCTTTACTTAATATACATACAAATGTATGTGACTCAGTAACATGGAAGTCACCACCAGATCCTCGTATACCACCCTTGAATGATGCTTATTTAATGGACATCCCAGCCTTTTTATATTTAAGACCACTCAACACCTCAGCAGTATCAGCTGTCTGTTTTAAGCAACAAAAACATCAACCTGAAACACAAAACTGTGCAAAATGTGCTACAAAACATACCTCAAGTAGGACATTGGTTTACAAATTGAGAGTTGATACAAGAGACAGGGCACCCACTAGTTCAGCTTCAGC